AAAAAAAAAAAAAAAAAAGAGAAGTCAGTGCAAGTTCAGTGTATGCAGACCTGTCTTCCTGGAGCTTCTGTTCTTGTGGGTGGGGGAGATGGCAAACGAAATGGGGGGAGTGTCAGGGCAGGCAGGTTGTGAAGAAGCCAGCAGCGAGCTCAGGGTGCTCGGGTGGAGCATGGAAGTGCACCCTAGTACGTCTGGAGGAGCCGTGGAGGCCAGGAACCCAAGGCCGCTGTACCAGACGGGATTCTCATCCCTACTGTGTGCAAGACGAAACCTGAGCCTCCACCATTGTGTCACCGTGCACAGATGTCGCAGGCCCGAGAAGGGCCCCGTCCAGCCCGGCCTTGGCCTCTCCACCCCGGCCGTGAGCTCCCTCCCAGCCTATGGCACCCGCACATTCCCCACCCAGCTCCCAGCACCGATGCCCAAGCGCCCAGGCAGGTGGCGGCCGTAACCCCCAGTGGCTGGAACTCTTCACCAGCAGCTCTTTAGCTGCAGGGAAGCAGGAATTCCCTCTGCCGCCGGGGTTGGGGTGAGTGAAAGCTGTGCAGGCCCCTGAGGGTGTGGTAGGCACATCTGGACATAGCCAGGGTTGTGGAGCCAATAACCAGGGAGGACGGAGCGGGCTGGAGGGAGACGATACCCCACCCGGCCCTTGAGAAAATGCCAACCCAAGTCAGATCTTCTATAGGTGTCTTCTATATTTGAAAATAGAAGGTTTGTTTCATGCACTAGGAGAAAATGCAACAAAGCCCAGCGAGTAACACCTGTCTGATAAATTTTATTAATTACTTGAAGATTTCAGGCGCTTGATTCAACTGTGTGTATGTGTGTGTGTGTGTGTGTGTGTGTGTGGCACCAGGAATTGAACTCACGACCTTGCACTTGCCAGGCAGACACTGTGCCGCAGAGCTGTATCCCCGACCCTAATTCAACTTTAAATCACTAGAAAAGCATTGTTAGCATAAGTGCAAGACGTATGGCACAGAAATGTCTTTCCTCAGTAGGAAAAGTTTCTCAAAGGATGTCGAGAAGTCACACATCAATTCTGACTCACAAAGGTTAAAAAAATAAAAGCCCAACCCTCCGTGGCAGCTGTGGCCAGCGTGAGACCTTGTCACAAGCCCTCGGGAATTCTCACCTGTGTCAGACAAAGCAAATGCGGCCCGTCCCTGCAGCTGTTTGTATAAGAGACGCAGGTACAGGCAGCCGCAGCCACAGGGACGCCCGTCTAGAGACCCCTGGCTTCGGGTGCAGCCGTTCTTGGTGCTCACACCAAAAGCTCTGTCCTGGATGCAGCTTCTCGGGATGGGAGGAGCAGCCCTCACAGGACAGTCCGCCGGGAGGCTGGCTTCGCAGGCTTTTCCTCTTCCTGTGGGATTGGTGCCCTTCTCCGGGGCGGGGTAGAAGGAGCCAGGCCTCTGTGTCACTCGTACACCAGTGCCTAGTTAAAATGACTTTTCTCTCCTTTCATCAGACCGCAGGCAAGATGTCGGACTCTTATCAGGAATGGTCTTCTTCGCCGTGACACTGTCGATTCTTTCTCTGATCGGGATCTTTAACAGATCGCTCCGCTCTGGGTAGGTTTCAGAGACTCCACTTTCTGATTATACACGTGTGCTATCAAAATTCTTTGACTGACCAGACGAACGCATTAACAAAGATTCGTACAGAGAAAGAAAAGAGAAGACCAGCATTCAGTGAGGACATAGGGGCCAAACTCTACAAATGTCACTTTTTCCCCCCTCACAGTGACCCACCAGGAAAGCTCGGGGCAGTTTTACAAAGACCCAGAGAAGCAGGATTCTTAGCCCAAGGCCACAGAGCACTAAGCCAGGCCTCCAGCCCAGGCTACGGCAGGACAGCCTCTCTCCCGCCCTCTACCTTTTTATTGGGTCTCGGTACCATCTACAGGGATTGATTCTTTTTGTTTGTCCGCATTTGATTTGAGGACAGGATCTCGCTTTGTAGTTCAGACTGCCCTTGAGCTTACTACATGGCCCAGGCTTGCTACATGGCTCAGGCATGCTCCTGCCTCAGCCTCCTGAGTGCTGGGTTCACAGATGTGCACTACAGCACCCTGCCAGTGCCCAGATTCTAGAGGGTGGAGCTGCCTTGAGTTCCACCCAAGCAGATGAGCAGATCCAATATGCAAAGAAGCGTGGTGGTGCTGGAACAGGTCCTTCTGTTACCGCAATGGCGCTGTCTTTAGAATCCACCCCTAAAGCACCTATGGCTTCCTTTAGTCACTCCCCCCAGAATGGTGACGTTTGAGGCAAGTGACTGAAAATTACTTAGGAAAGCAAGACTTTTGATTTTCTTTTCTTGTTTGGTACTGGGAATTGAACTCAGGACCTTGGGCTTGCCAGGCAGGCGGTGTGCCGCTGAGCTGTAGCCTCAGCCCAAGGCCTTTGCTTCTCTCACTTTGACTGACGCGCTGAGTATTCCTGCTATGCTGATAGAGTCGTTCACAGGGCTGTTTCCGGTGGCACACGCTGCACTCAGACCCTGCCCTGTGCTCTTTCCAAATTGGCCCCGAGCTTCTTTTCTGTCATCACTTTTGCCTTGTGACATCATCTTTCTTGTAAATGCACAACCACCGTGCGGTAGAAAGATGATTGTAAGAAGCTATGCTAAATAAAGTACCCTGATGCCTTCCTGTCTACTGCTCAGAACTTCGGAAAGATTTCCAAATTTAAATTGCATGCTAACAGATCCCTGCTATGGTTGTGAGGAGGGAAAGATAATAGAGAATTTTATTTTAGGTTGTGTTAAAATATATGTGATTACAGAGTCCCTGGAAATCTCTCAATGTTCAAACTAGTACCCCATAAAAACATTAATATTCCTACTATTATCTAAAGAGTCCTAGTTAGTTCAGATGACATTGAGTTTGCTACTAAACATGTCATAAAGCCAGCTTTCAGTTGGCGATGACAAATAAGGAAATAGAGCAATCCTGGGTGAACTTAATTATTTAAATAAGTCCCCTTTTCATAAATGGGATAACTTCAGTATAACTGTTTTGCCTATAAGCAGGTCATTATTCACTTGTTTTTTCCAGTCTTTATCTTTCATTAGCACGTGTTTGCAGCACACGATGACCTCAGTCCCGGGGGAGCTGGTGTCTGTGTACAACACACCTTCATCCTTCTCCCGCCTTCCCTCTCTCCCCCTCCTCCTCCCCCACCTCCCGTCCCATTAGAGACCGTCATTTAGTAGCACAGCACATTATTTATGAAAGCCTACCTCAGAAGCAGAGCTGGAGAATGAACCCCAAGGCATATTAAGTACAATGAAACCAAGGGTTGATAAATGTCTATAAATACAATCTTACGGTGTCCACATGCGGTAGAAAAACTTTGCAAAGCTAGTAGCAGGAACTTGCTAGTTTGGTCCTTTTTAAAATAGAGATACAGTCTAAATGGTAAAAACAAAACCAAACAAAACCACTGTGTAAATACAGGTAAAGAAATCATTTTTAGACTGGCGTCCAGGGTCAAGCAGGGCCTGGGAAGTCCTTCCAGCATTTGGCTGGAGTTTAATAGAAATTGCCAGAGACCTGCTAAGGCGATGGCCACGCCCTATCGGCTGCTCACGGGTGAAAAGGAGCCTGAGTTAGCTCTGTCCCCTCCTCCGTCTGGGGACACCCCTGTGCCCTAATCAGTTTGGACTGTTGATGTGGAGGACGCTTGTAAACTCGACGGCAGAGCCAAGGGAACTGGCAGGCACAAGTGGGCATGTGCAGCTCCTCTTGCTGCCCCCGCTCTGCTGCCGCCCCACTCACCACCGGCCAGCGGACACCAGCCGTGCCTGGCCCACGGCGGCCAGGCAGGTCCTCCCGCCTCCCGCGCCTCCCACAGGTGAGGAGGGAGACGCACCGTGATCAGCACAAGCCTAGTCAGGCCAACCACAGGGTGCAGAAAGAAGCTGGAACGAGCATTTTAATGTCTGAGTCTCTTTTTTAAGAGTTGTGGCTGTCATGGAAAGGTCTGCAAAGTGTCCCTTAAGCTTTTCCGACTTTCCCACGCCCGCATCACCTGCTCAGAGCAGCTGGCCACGCTTAGCCAGTGCAGTTTCTCCCTCTTCTTTTGAATCCGGTGTCTTAAATCCTCCTGCTCGTCGGAAAGAAACAGAGCAGCAAGCAAAGTGGTGAATCTGGGAAGACACGGAGTCAACGCCTCACCGCTCTCCTGCACCGGAAGTCTGCTTCTTACGCGGGTCCCTCCCTAACCCCCGCGGGGCCTGCGCCGGTCCCCCAGCAGCACGGTTCTTCTAATGTGTCTTCTTCATTCCTTTAGAATTAAAAGAAAAATCTTACTGCTGATACCAGCGTGGCTCCATGAAGAGATTCCTCACATGGAGAACAGCAGCGTCGTGAAGATGCTGCAGGTAACCATCGAACCAAAACGGGATCGAGGCCAAGAGCGCAGGCCAGTGATGACAGCAGCAGGCCCGTCCAGATACGTGTGTGCACGTACAGCATCATTCTCTAGCTGTAGGAACGAAGCTGTACATAGCTAGCCCTACTTACAGGAGCTGAGAGAGAAGCCATGCTGGCCACATGAGAAGAGCGGGTGGAAGAGGCGATCGCCAGCAAGTGTCACTTGGAGACCAAGAGATCGCTAGCCATCTTCGGAGGGAAGGGCGAGCAGAGGAAGCTGGGTGGGAGGAGCCCAAAGACTCAGACAGGCTTTGGAATTCCTCGAGATGGGAACAGGGGGACTGGGAGATGAGCCCAGGGGAACACGAGGAGGTCATGGGGGGGACATGGTGCCACCAGCGTGTGCCCAGGAGGATGCTGAGGACAGGCCGTGGGGCAGGGGAAGGGCCCGCCCTTTGCGTTTCCAGCCTTCCGGGCTCCAGCCCCAGCCCCGGGACAGGTGTGTCACCTAAGCACATTGTGGGTGATGAGAAGTGCAGGACGGAGAGGAGCCCAAGTGTGTGAGGGAGCTGACACAGAACGAGGGCAGGGATTGGCCTGGGGGGCACGGGACACTACAAGCTGAGAGGGGGCGTGGGGAGAGAGGTTAGAGGCAAGAACAGCGTGCTGGGTAGCAGACAGCGGCATCTGTCAGATCAAGGGCTGTGTTCCAAGCTCTGCTGAGCCCTCCAATCAGCTGCTTCCCACTGAGCCACTGGCCCCAAGCCTGGCAGGTTCCCACAGGGGCTGGGCCGCCTCAGGTGACCCGGCTAAGGAGCTTCTGCTCGGCCAGGTGGCCTTCCCATCCCGGGCTCTGGGGATCTGGGTTTCTGCCCAGGAGATGGAGAACAGCTGTCTGGGTCGGCTTGGGCTGTGATGACAGAACTCACAGACGAGGAGTTCCAACAGCGGAGGACCTCTGCTTCCTTGTCACGCTCCTGGAGGCCAGGAAGCCCAAGGCCAAGGTGGAGAGGGGTCAGTGTGGCTCTCTAGTGGATGGGTGGTGGACAGGTGGACGGCTGTTTTCAGGAGGGTCCATCCATGTGACCTCATCAGCTCCCAGGGTCTCCACCTCCAAATAATAGCGCATTGGCTTGAACACATGAACAGGGGGAGGGGTGTTACAAACATGCAGTCTGTAACAGGTGGCTATAATTTCATAACTGCATTGGATGGTAATTATTTCCCTAAGAGACTAATCAAATCCGTTTCTTGTCCAGAAAGATCAAGGTGCTGAAATCCACATCTGTGCAAATTCTGAGTAGCTCTACATTTTCAGAACAAAGCATTTATCGCAACCTTACTCTCAACATATGAGCAAAATAGGAGTCTCTGCCCTTTCTTGTATTTAAAAAATAAAGTATTTTCTTCTAGTGAAGCTCCATAATATTAAGATATAGTCCAACTATTCTGAAGCCCTACTTTTATTAGTATTGTTATCATCATTATCCTCATCATTATTATTATTCTAGTTTTTGAGAGAGTCTCAATAATGTAGTTCAGGCTGGTCTTGAACTTACTATGTAGTCCAGGCTGACCTTGAACTTGGGGCAATCTTCCTGCCTCAGCCTCCTGAGTGCTAGGAAACAGGAATGTGCCCCTATGTTCGGCTCCAAAACCCAACTTTTAAAAGGTCCTGAAGTAATCTGAATGTTAGTATGTTAATATGCAAGGCTCTTCTTTCTCTTTAAAAAAAAAAAAAATCAAGAAATGTGCTTAAATTGTGGAGCATTTTTATTATTACTTTGCTTCAGTCTCCTCTTGGGAGAATTTAATTATGATCTGAAAGCAAGTAAGGTAGCAAAAGACAAAGGAAGGAAAGCAGTTGGGAAGACAAACAATATTTGAAAAGGGAGAGGAAAAGGAAAGTCAACAGGAAGAACACCCCCAGTCCTTCAGTTATCCAGTTGGCTCCTTTAGATGGCTTTTATGAAACAAAACATGTCTCTTTTTTCCTAGGAAAAACATGAATTTGTGAATAATAATTCCAGCGAGCAGGTCCTTTATGTTGATCCCACGATTACAGAGATAACAGAAGTTCTTCCCCCAGAGGAGCGCAAGCCAGCCAGTTACAGAGAGGAGATGAATACAGGAGCCCAGGACGCAAAAGCATCAGCATTTGCCCCGAGCACCGTGGTGTACATTCCTGACCTCACCTCTGGATATAAACCCCAGATCTCAAGTTTCCTCTCTGCAGGAAATCATGTCAGCAGCAGCAATGAAACCGGTCCTCCAACCCCTAAACCAACAGTGGACTCCTTCGACCTAGGAAGGAGTGCCAGGGTTAGAAGATATCCTCAGTTTACGCTTCCTGTCTCCAGTGTGAATTCACTAAGCAACACACTAATTCTTGAAGAGTTGAGCCTCATTCTCGATCAAGGCGAATGCGGTCCTCCTGACACACGGAACTCAGCAGAGGGAGAAAGCTCCTTGCTTTTGGAAAACGATTCTGCCAGCGATGCTATCCCAGAGCAGACCGTACTGCCGGATGAATTTGTCTCCTGCCTGGGGATCGTGGATGAGGAGTTGCCATCTCTGAACCCTTACTTTCCACAAAACATTTTGGAAAGCCACTTCAATAGGATTTCACTCTTGGAAAAGCAGAGCTTGTAGCCAAAGTCCAAATGGGAAGCTGTCCTGGAGTCGGAAGTTCTCTCTTCCCCTCCATGGAAATGCCATTCTGTGCCAAGGTCCCAAAGAGGGGCGTGCTTCATGGTCACACAACAAGAGCAGCATTAGTAGGGAAACCAATGCATTTTTAAAAGAACCGCACTCCTTCCTCTTCATAGCTTCCTTCCCTGAAAGGTACAGAGTCTCTCTGCCACGTCGAGGAAGGATAAATAACACAAGATGTGCGGGGGTGAAAAAAATGCCAGAAATCAAAATACCAGCATCTGCTTGCAAAGCGAGAAGCAAGTTTAATTTTCATCTTAGCACTTCAAATTCTCTCGAGGAGATTAAAATATAGCTCCAGACAGCAAACTAAGTAAAGGAAGGAAGAAAGAGGTAGTTGGTTAGCATATTTGCTGTCACATTTCTTCCACTACTTTCTATTCCGGTATTGGAGATTTGGTCTGGGGGTGTTTGGTCCAAGAGATGTAAAACAAAGATGTGTGGAGACGAATTCCCTCTCTGTGTTCACCGTGGTGCCTCTGTTCTCCTGCGGCATTGCTGGCACAGTATTTAAGCTATTATGGAATCCAGGAGAGGTAGCGGATGCAGGGTCAGCAAGACGCAGTTGTTCCTGGTACCGTCTATCTATTAGATAGGTCAGACATCCTTATTAGAACAGACACGTGCGTGCCTAGAGCTGCAGTGCAGACGCACACACGGCAGACATCACTAGCCGATCACCACACACCTCAATTTCCTTTTCATGGTTCTTTATTTGTTACACTTTATATATCCTCCAAGGAATCTGTTTCACATTCCTAACGGAACACCACTGTTAAAATATCTTGTTTTGCACCGTGTGCATTTGCTTTATTCTTCTCCCAAGAGAGAATCATGGTGAAACAAAGAGGCAAGGAGAACTGGAGCAGAAAGAACTGGACTGAGAGTCATCTCTGTTGTTTAATAACCTGCCGTGGACATTCGGTGACGTGGGAGTAATGGTGTTATAGTGCGTTTCACCATAACTGTAATTTATGGAATGTCGAAAAAGCTTTCGCAGCCGGGCATGGTGGTGCACGCCTGTTATCCCAGCAGCACTCGGGAGACTGAGGCAAGAGGATCGCTGCTAGTTTGAGGCCAGCCAGGGCTCCATGGCAAGACCCTGTCTCAAAAAAAGAAAAGAAAAGATAAAGCTTCTGCCAAGGTGGATGGAGAGCAGCACCGCTTGACGCCTGTGAGCGCCCTGTGTGGTGAGGAAGGCGGTTGTTTCCCTCCTGCAGTGTTTCCCACACCGCACTGCTGTCGGGGACAGAATAGACCAGACGGATCCCAGATCCCAGTTCTGCTGTTAGCCTTTGGGTCCAGGTGACTGGAAATCATACTTGGCCCCTGCCCCAGTTCATGGGGAAATTTCAACTGCTTTATCACAGTGCCACGCTGGCCCGGAAGCCGAGTTCTCTTTCCATTTAACCAGAATTCACTGGACCACTCAGTACCCATGACACGAGCCAGGTACCCGGGAAATGACAGATGTGAACACAGCCAAGCCCTGCAGCCTTGGGGGTTGTGCTCTAGGGGCAAGGAGCACCCCATGGCGAGGACAGCCCTTGGCTTCAAAGACCAGCATTTCAGTGGGCAAGTGATGGGGGTGGGGGTGGAGAGAGCCGGAAGGAGATAAAGAAGGAAAACGACAGACAGCGAGTGCTGGGCGTGCAGGTGAGGTGGGGTAACGTGGCAGGGAGCAACCTGTGTTACACGGGTGGCCAGGAAAACCCCTCAAAGAAGGGGTGCTGACGTCACCACCTGAACCTCAGGTCCCAGCCGGCCGTAAGCACCAGCATGCCACACACAAGGCCCTTGGGTGGGAAAGCCCTGGAGTGTCCCGGTCCTCCTTCCTTCCTTCCCCCGCCCACCCTGGCCTTTTGCAGCCAGCGTTTGCTGTCGATCCCAGGGACGAGGACACCTGCTTACACTTGCATTTCGCTCTCGGGCCTGTTACCAGTGTGCTTTCCCCGAGACCCACTGTATCTGTCAGCTTCCGACTTCGCGATGGGCACTGTCCTGCAGCCGGCGTGGGTTAGAGAGGAGGAAGAGGAGGAGGACAGGAGGAAGATGAGGAGGAGGAGAAAGAGACATGGCTGTCCAGGCACAGCCGGGGAGGAGGGGAGACGTGCAGAGAGAGCAGCGGGTTCTGGACAGCGCCAGAGCTGGCGAGGACATCCACTTTCCCCCGCGGCACCTTCCCTTCCCAGCCTCCCGCTCCCTTGTCTCCCGCAGCAGCAGCACAGGGAGGCCTGGTCAGGGCCCTGGCTCGGAGCTTGCCTGTGGGTTTGGAGGCTCTGCCTCTGAGAGTGGGATGTGTTTCCCTGGTGTTGGAAATGGGGTGGAGGGGCAAGGAGGCCTGAGGACGAGGCGGTCAGTGCCCTGGGCTGCTGTCTCTCTCTCCCGATGCGTCCCAGTGGTTCTCCCGCTCCTGTCCTCCTCCCTTGGACATGGAGACAGACACGGACACTGTGGCAGCAGAGGGGAGAGGTTTTCCAAGATAAGCCCTGCTCACTGATCTACAGTTGTGGTCTAAACACGGCAGGATCCCACGTGCTCCTCCACCCTCGCCTCTCCCCTCCCAGGCTGAGCCCCTCAGCCTGGAACTCAGGGCTGCGGCTCCTCCTCCACTTCAGCGCAGAGCGCCCACCTCAGGCCCGAGTGTAGTGCAGACCACCCCAAGCCCCAGGCCGCCCCAAAGCCCCAAGTGCCGGTCAGAGGGGCCTCATCTCTGGCTGGAAGTGGCGGCCACCCCATACCCAGTGTCACTTCGCTTCCCTCCAACCACTTTATCATAAAGAGCTGGGCTTTGTCCAAGGTTACATCTTTTGGATCACTAACAAATAAATATGGTGTCGTGAACATAATTAGATTCTATAAACCGAGAGACTGCCAACTCCTGCTGCGGCTTCTCTGTCTGTGAAGTAATCACACCAGTTACGGGAGGTTATGCTCTCATGGGAAATGTTACCCACTTGGCAGACACCATTGATTTAACATAAAATAAATGATTAAAAACAATTTCGGGACCTCTGTTGGGTAAAAGTGTGAAGCTAATATAAAATAATCGTATTCTGATAGGTGGAGCGGGTTGTGTACAACTTCTGTGGATGCCATAGTTAAGGCAAAATCACAAGAACGCCAGCACAGGTTTGACAGAATGTTATTACATTCTTTCTCAGGGATAAGATTGCACCATTAAATCCCAATTCATGTCTCATGGGAGGCTCTTTTAGCCATTTTGCTAATTTCACTTTTCAACTTAATTTGCCATCACCACCCTACATCTTTCATATCCAGAATTTCCATCAATTTTCTGAAGATGTATTCCCTTTATGATAATGTTCAGAATATAGATTCTTACCTAATTCTCATAATTAGCATTTAGCAACACATTGAAAACTCAGCTGTAAATGGTCCATTGGTATTTGGGGCAGTCAGCATATTCTAGCCTAGCTAAGAAAAATAAAAACAAACGAACAAGCAACACCCCAGACCTTCTAAGCTACATGGCAATATTGCAGAAACCTAGATCTTTTCTGTGACTGTTGTTTCAAAAATTCCAAGAAAACAAAGTGAGGTCTCTAACCACAAAGGCAAGCCTAAAATTAGCGCCTCTCTGAGCACAGGAAGGAAATCGTAAATAGTCGAGCACCGGGACCCAAGTGTGAGATACGGAAGTCAGCAAACCTGCTGCTTTCTTTCTGTGCACCTCCTGCTGCCTGAGTATTTCATGAGCCAAGCATGCTCGAGAAAGAATACACTGGTGAGATAAAGAGAAAGTGTTTTATTTTTAAACTGCACGTAATTTATGAAAATATATTTCTTTAAAAAAATCAAGGAAACTGGTGCGGTTGTAGTAAGGTGTCAACCCCCCTCTACGTCCCTTCTACCACCCCACCCTGTCAGCAAAGGTCAAGACACTCAGCCAGTGTCTTTTCATTTAAATGGTGAAAATGTAGTGTTTTTCTGTGACTTGCTCTTTTTCTCTTCATGACGTACCTTGGAAATCTTCCCATTTTATTGCGAAGCTTCCCCTTACTCTTTTAGGCAAGAGCAGTCCATAGAATAGTAGTCCATAGGAGTCCATAGAATACGTGCATCACAGTGCATTTACCTATTCGAGTGATGACATGCAGTTGTCTCGCAGTTTGCACTGCTGCACCCCTTCCTGTAACAAATCTCCTTATATACAGTGTATCATCACACATCATTGGGAATTTTGTAAAGGAGGCAGTATAAAGGAATACAGATTCTCTCTCCTTTTTTTTTTTTTTTTTTTTTTTTTGTTTTTGATTTTTGAGACAGGGTCTTATGGGCTGGCCTTGAACTTGCAGTGCCCCTCCTGCCTCAGCCTCCCAAGTGCTGGGATTACAGGAGAGCACCAGATTCTTAAATGTGGAATTGTTGGGTCGAGAAATAAAATCACTTATTTTTTGGTAAATAATGCCAATTATTTCTCGGGCCCCCAGCCTCG